ATCCCGGATAAAAACCACAGCACCAGGAAGAAGGCCAGCTTTAATACAGATTCCAGCATCTCCGTTCCCGAAAACTGGCGGCTTACAGCTACCGTTGACAGGAGTACCAATAATACCACAGCTACCAGGTCTTCGATGACCAACACGCCCATTACTACCTCCGCAAATTTTTTGGTCTTCACGCCCAGCTCATCAAATGCCCGGATGATAATGGTGGTCGATGCAATGCCCAGGATACCCCCCAGGAATAAGCTATCCATAAACTCCCACTTCATCAGCTGCCCGATAATATAACCGAGTGTGATGGTACAGGTTACACCAATGATCGCAGCGATGGCGGCTGTGCCGCCAACCTTTATCAGCTTCTTAAAACTAAACTCAAGCCCCAGTCCAAACAACAGGAAGATAACACCGATCTCGCCCCAGGTATTAATATTTTCTATCTCCGTAATGGTTGGAAAAAGATTGAAGTTGGGACCTACCAGAAAACCTGCAATAATATACCCAAGTACAAGTGGCTGTTTCAGTTTCTTAAATACAAGGGTCGTCACACCGGCAGCCCCTAAAATAAGTCCGAGATCAGTAATTAAATGGGGTAAATGCGGCATAGGTTCTTCTTCTGGATTTTATGGTGATTAAAACACGCTGATCCTTACAAAAATATGGATTGTTGCGCGGAGCTAAATAGATAATTATAATGGGCAATTATAGCCGTGCCTATTTATTAAAATGAGCCTCATGCAGTATTTCAGTCAATTGGCTTTCATGTTTTAATATTGCAGGCCCGATATTTACATGTTTTTTTGCAAATCGTTTTATGGCCAGAGGTACGTGCTTTTTTCTTGGATGTCTTTTCACCTATAGTTCCCTCACTGCATATGCCCAGGTAGTGCCTCCCGAACCCTCACACGTTGATGAAGATTATATTGCCGAGCATAAAGAAGATCTGCTGATCAGGTTGTATGGTTCTCATAAGTTTACCCGGCTATCTTTTGGTGAATACGGTAAGAAGGAAAGTGTGCGTTATAAACCAAACGGCAATTATAATGTTGGTTTTGGCTTTAACTATCAATGGCTGGGCATCAACCTTGGTTTTAATGCGCCCTTTATCAATAATGATGAAGCGCGCCGGGGCAAGACAAAATACCTGGACCTCCAGGCTTATTTATATTTAAGAAAGGTTGTCGTAGACTTATATGCCCAGTCGTACAGGGGCTATTACCTGAGCAATGACAATATCATCAACAAACCGGCCGATGCGTCGCGGATAAGAGGTGATATACGCACCCGCAGCCTGGGCGCTTCGGTGGAATATATTTTTAACAACAGGCGCTTTTCGTACCGGGCTGCATTTTTACAGAATGAATACCAGCAGAAAAGCGCTGGCAGCTTTATGGTCGGCGGCGGCTTCCTGTTTACCCATGTCAAAGGCGATAGTGCCCTCCTGCCCGCCAATATCAAATAC